AAAACTTAAAGCAATAGGGAAAAGCGCTGGATCAAAAATAGGGGGTTGAAGAGAGATTTCTAACAAATCAAAAATCCTAGCACTATCAAAAATTGCCTTGGTAGGACCATGGTCTACAAGGTGAGCATGCCATCTACAGAAAATAACATCAGATTTAAGCCAAGTGCGAATACATTTTTTGCGAAGCGGCCTTAGCAGCAAAGAGTTCAGAAACGGAGGGCCTTGAGTACAAGGGAACAGCAGGCCCACCGCCACTTGTTCGACGGCCTCGGCGTTGTTGAATGAAGGACCTAGATAGAACTCATTGAGTTTGGCATTGGTTGGTACAAGGAAGTTCGGAGTTATATATGGCCGAGTGAGGATTTTCTGGAAGTCTTCGAAACTGAAAGAGTCACCAGATTGGGTTTGTGAAGCAGCCATTGGGAACGAAATAAAGTTTTGTTGAAGTTTGCTTGAGAAACGTAGTAAAGAAGCAAGAAGATGAACAGTAATATTGCGAGAGAGAAGCGCGAAACAATGAGGCGTGATTTAGTGGTGCGATGAAATGACGTGTATTTGGGGGGTTATAAAGGTTTGCAACGTCGCGCCTTTTCAGGCTATGGAAGGAAATAATGATTGAAATTCTTGGGAATTTCAAATGTTGCTGGAAAATACAAAGTGAATATGGCAAAAATTAATAATTTGTATTAATTCTGCCATAGTGGGGGGTAATTGTTGACACACTAAAAGTGCAGCCCAAATCGAATAGCCCAAAGAATGAAGCTCAAATGGGCAATTCAGGATAAAAGCCCAAATAGGGTTATTAATGAATGCAGTGGAAGCTCACGAATGCAATAACACCATCGCCCAAACTTGCAAGACGCCCAAGATCTGAGTGAATGAAGTGCCTTGCAGTCGGCCAGAGTTATGACCCTATTATCGCCCAAACCTTCGAATCGCCCAAGATCTTAGCAAACATAAGATGTTATGGTTATCCAAAAGTGCAGTTATCGAAACAGTTATTGAGTAATCTTATCACGTTTCACGATTCAAGGAGTTTGGTTGAAGACGGTTGAACGACAAAGAAGTAGTGGCAGCAGTTAGAGACGGCAATTCCACGATAAGTTGGCCACCATGAAGAAAGTGGGTAGTTATAAAGCAATTAAGCAGTTTCTAAACGATTGATCACGAAGAGATTATCAAGGGAATATAAAAGAAAGAAAAGACATAAAGCAAAAGGCCCTGAATCAAACACTCTCAAATAGAGAATATGTAATTTCAATTTCTTAGTTTAGACTTAAACATTTCTTTTCAGTACTCGTGTGTTTGCGCCCCTTGGAGGCATTCTGTTTAGTTCCAATTGTAAAGTCATCGCCAATAAAACACCCATTTTTGGGACTTTGTCTCAAGAGATTTGTTTCTTACACAATCGTCTGATCCATTTTTAATTGTTAGTGACTACCCGGGTGAAACACACCCCTTTTCACTTCCAAAAATGGGGGCCAAATGGGGACATAAATAGAATGGATGATGTATAATGAGATAATTATTGATGATTATTTAGTATTATCATGATACATAAATAAGTTTTATCTAGTTTGAAAAATCTATTTCATTCCAATTGTAATTCTTATCTTGAACCCTATAAATAAAGAACATTTATTCTTCATAATATACACACAAATTTATTAACTTATATTCTCTCTTCTCTCTTTTATAACATAATAATAGATATTTCTAAATGAACTTCGTTACTTAAATTCAAATATGGCCAGACCAGTTATTTCAATTGATTAAAGACAGCTGCTAGAAATCCAGGGCCCGCAAGGGGTGCCTATTTGACACCCCCTATTGGAGGAGGGCTGTCGGCACTGGATGAGAAGGGTTTAAAAATAAGGATAGATCAAGTTATTTCAATTTAAAATGAAAAAAGGGACTAATTTCTTGATTTGGTCGGCAAAATAGATTTTTAATGCTTTTTTTTTTTTTTTGGGTGTTTATAATAATTGGTTGATTGATCCGGCACTGTACATTCTGGCCTTTTTGGTGAAACAAATTGCACCATCAAATCAACTCATCTATCTCAAGACTATCACGTTTGTTGAAAATTAAAATTAATTTAAACTAAAGTCAACAATTAATTTTAACCGTATATTTTATGAGATTCACACTTTTCCAACCACTTATTTCAACAACTTTTATCAAAGTTTAATAAAAAATATAATTTTAATCCTAATCAAATAGTTCTAGTAATAAACTCCAAGGAACCATACTCTTTGTGTGGATAGCATTAAGCCTCAATAAGATATCCTTAAAAAAGTATTTATAAATAAGTAATTTTTTATCCAAAAAAAAGTAAATTACTTAGTTTAATACTAATCTTTCCATTATTTGGTAATCAGTTTTATCATTTGTGTGTTTTTTTATTTGACATGTAACTTTCATAATTTACAAAATAAAAAATAATTCGAATAAATAAATAATTACTACAACCTATTGTTTTGAAATTCGACAAATGTATAGTATAATAATGATACCGAAGAAATAGTTTTATTCGAAAGATTACGCGTAACTTCATATTATTGGATAATATATTTTGTGCTTATCGCATCGAAAATCATGAAATAAAATTGCTCCAAGTGGTATTCTGCTGAAAAAGATAGGTTTGTATTTATATTTGAAGTGACAAAAAAATAATCATATTTTTAATCCACGTATCTGTTAGAATATTCCAGTAATGAAAAATAAATTGGTAATGCGTCCCTACAAAGCAATATATATTTTATTGAGACAGTTTGCCTTAGAAGTTCAATTCAAAAACTCACAATGCTTGCCTAATCTATAATAAGTAAATTTTATAATAACAATGTTTTATGCAAAGATTGAATAAGTTTTATTTAGCTTAATTATTTTAAAATAAGTTACTTATTTCAAAGATCGAATAAGTTTTATTTAGCTTAATTATTTTAAAATAAGTTACTTATTTCAATAGTGTGATTGTACAAAATAAAATATACAACAGAATTTAACTTTATCAAAATAAATGCAAAAAACTATATATTCAATAAAACACAACGTGCTATAGCTGGAGGCATAATGACTAATCAAAATCTTTGATTAGGCGCAACCATTTCAAGTGCAATGGATCTATACTATAGAGTCATAGACAATCTCGATAAATAGCATTTTGAACTAGAAAATGTGTCCAAATATGAAATGACGTTATCGAAGACTAATAGTTCAGAGTATAGCATTATATTCACATAAAATCAGTCATTGCATTTTACTATCCCTCTATTACTTAGGATCGTTTGATAGCACTCAATTTCATGGAAAATGTCATATTCGAGGAATTCGTTTTCTACTTTGACTGTTTGATACAAAAGTATAATTGGAGTTCGAATTTCAAGGTACAAACCCTTAAAACATGTTTTTTGCCAATTACATGAAAATCAAATTCTTAAGATTTTGATGGTTTTTTCTTTTCCAACTTTCATGAAATTGGTTAGTCTTTTTTCTCTTTGCAATCAAACGGACCCTTAGTTTTCTTCTTTTGATTGTCCCAATTGATTTCCCCAAAATATTATTAACACGAACGGATTCTTAATATATTGATGGGTTGATTCTTGAAGTATTTGTAGTGTTTTCAAAATTATAAGTTAGTCAAACATTTTTTGTTATCACCATGCTCCATATGATCCAAGGCTTTCATCCGCCCATCAAATGACACCTGGCTGATGATCTACTTAGAGGAAAATAAAAATCCATTCTCCATTCTCCAAAAATTTCTCCCCTAAAGAATTTTCACTATTTTATAGATGAAACATTTTGAACATTGTTGAATTTTCACAGAGTTTCAACCGACTTAAACGTTAAAGTTTTTTAAAGAGATCCCTTTTTGACATTCTCTTTTAATTACTTCTCATGTTGATTCTTGCAATTATTAATATTAAATAGCATTCCTATTTAAAGAAAGCCGTAGAATGATAATTGTCCTATGAAGAAGAAGAAGAATTGTTAATTGTTATATGGGCCAGATAAATATACGTAAATTTTTTTATTTGTTAAAAGGGTAAATAATATTTTATTAGATATTAGCATTAGTTTGAATAATATTTTGAAGGATCGTGCTTCACCAACAGGGGATCGATCTGATAGAACCCCACCAATAATTAAGAGTGGGAGGAGGCGTGGCCAGGCCAGCTCGCAAAAGATGCTTCTAGTTATTATTATTATTATTATTTATTATTATTATTATTATTATTATTGGCTTTTTAATTTCTTTAAGTTTTAAAAGATAGAATTTTATCATGAAATGATAAGAGGCTAATTTACCAAAATTCAACGATAACACTTGATACGTTCAATTAAATGAATTATGTGATATCGTATTTAAGTGAATTTAGTATTTAATTACATGCTCTACTCAATTTACAATTGAAAAGAGTGAACTGATCGGTCAAATTGAGCGAAGTTAAAGGTAATGATAAAGTTACAGCAGTCATTTTCAAATAGATTACATTTATTGAACTATTATGTGCTACACCCTAAAACAATTGTTTTGTCCCCAGTTCATTTATTACGACAAAATATTTCAAATGTCAAAAATTGAGGTCGAGGTACACTGGTTTAAGGGATTATTAAAGACTTGGAAACGATAGGACTCGAATCAAATTAGAAGGAACAAGTTATTTTTTAAGTACTTACTTTTTTTTAAAGAAATTTGTTGATAATAAAAGTTAATCCACCCTGCTATGCTTACAGAAAAATGCAAAAAAATAAAAAAAAAAAAAAAAAAAAAAAAAAAAAAAAAAAAAAAAAAAAAAAAAAAAAAAAAAAAATTTAAAAAAAAAAAAAAAAAAAAGATAGCAGACCAATCAAATGCTGCCGTGCCTTGCCATGGGCCCTGGATTTTTAGGGCGCCAAATGTTGGAGGGGGGCTGGACAGGGCCCATGTGGGATTGCCAACTTCAAGTAGGCAGAATGTAGTGTATCGAGAATATATATTTTTAGCTTTAATATAAAAATAGAAAACAGCTTATTATAACGACAAAACTTGAAATTGGGAATAGAAATACAGCAACAGCAAATACATGATGCAAATTCAACAGAGAAGTACAAACAAGATAACAAAGAGAACAAGCTTAAATAAATCCTCCCACCAAGCAGCAAAAATACAAAAGCATAAAATAACCGGGTGGTTTTCATTTGATTAATCAGTACTCTGAACCTGGCAAGGGTTCGTGAGAATGGTTGACGAAGAAGACTTCATAAACAATACCAGCAAGGCCACCACCGATAAGAGGTCCAGCCCAGTATACCCAGTGATGGGTCCAGGTGAAGCTGACCAGAGCTGGACCAAATGACACTGCAGGGTTCATTGAAGCACCGGTAAATGCACCACCCGCCAGAATATTGGCACCCACGATGAAACCAATTGCAATTGGTGCAATAATGCCAATTTCTCCCTTCTTTGGGTCAACAGCGGTGGCGTACACAGTGTAAACCAGGCCAAAGGTCATTACAATCTCGAAAACAAAGGCGTTCCACACCGACACGCCGGCAGTTAAAGCAAATGCAGATGTTTCCTGCATCGAAGTTTCATTCAATAAATTAGGAGCCGCTGTTATTGTTTGGGAGGACCAAGAATTTGTTTATTTCTAAAACTTACCAGTCCACCAGTTGAGAACAAGAGGAGAAGGCAAGCAACGACAGAGCCCAGCAGCTGAGCAATTATATAAAGGATACCACGGAAGAGAGAGACGTTTCCACCAAGAAACAAACCAAAAGTGACGGCAGGGTTTACATGACCGCCGGAAATGTTAGCACTGACGGCAACAGCTACAAACAAAGCAAAACCATGAGCCACCGCTGCCGCCACAAGGCCGGATGGGGAGGTAGGAGCATTCCCAGTCAATTTGTTGTAAGCCATGCCGGAACCCTCACCAGCAAACACAAAAATCAGGGTACTGAAGAACTCGGCTAGCGCCGCCTTGATAGCACCGGGCTGGCGGAACTCATCTCGATGTCCAAAGGCAACCCGTCGGAGTGGCACGTTAAAGAACTCGCTAGACATGGTGGTACGTAGTACAACTAATAATTTGGGTGACAGTGTGTCTGGGTCACTTCAGGGCTTGTCCTAAGATGTGCATGCTACTTTATACTGGGAAATTCATGCATTGCTTGGAAGCAACTTGTGTATCCGGTAGCCGGTGGCATTGAGATTCTCAAAAGAAAATTATGGTGAGGGACCATGAACTGTTTCGACAGCAAAGCGATCACCTCTATGACTTAATGAGATATGACACGTGTACATAAAAAGATAAGGACGACGTCACGTGGTATGGAGCAGGGTGCCTCTTTGATACTATATCGGAGCAATTCATACAAATTCGAAGAATGGTCTAGAACTGAAGATAAGTTTTTAATGCAAATAAAAAATAAAGAAAAAATCGAAAATAATTAAATGGCCATGAATTATTAGGTGCAATGGGTCATCTACTTTCGTTTTTTTATCGTCGATGAATTTAAGTGCGTCATAATTTTCATTAATGAATTAGGTTGTCATCTAATGTGTAAATAGGGTCAGATTGAATTTTGATCTGAATTCGATCCGAATTCAATAGAATTAATAGGAGATGAATTTAAGATCTTAGTTCGATAATCTAATCAAGATTCGAATTCGATAATCCGTTAACTAAATAAAGAAAATATAGATATATGTTAATTTGATCCAATTTATTATAATAATATAATATATTTTATACATCATTGCATTTTTATATTTTTTTAATGATGGAGGAGCCCACAATCACTATCCTTCGAGTTCACATTGAATAAACCTTTGGGCTGATGCAATATATCATTGCATATTTTATTATACATAATTTCTCTCTCTCTCTCACTCTCTCCGTGTATATATATATATATATATATATTTTAAATAAAAAAATAAAAGCACTACTTTGTTCAGAATGTGTAATAAAAAATGAGTATAAAAAGGCCCAATGCAATGTATTTTTTATTTACTTCTTGATCTAGAAGGATATATTAATAGCTAGGAATGTTTATTTTTCTAAGCATCAATCTTATTCATAACTTCCACTTTCTCGTCTCTTATCTCTTCACTCTCTTATTTATTACGCGCCTACTTTTCTACTTTTGTTTTAAAAAAATTACGAATCATTCTCCATGTGACAGGTCGTGAACGGTGAGAGGCGCCCAGACCATGGGAATTGTTCATGGAAAATATCAATTACCCTAAAAAAGATATATGGATACCTAACACAATTTATTATATTTTCTCTTGTCTAAGCGCCTATAAATATTTTAAATTTTTAACTCATTGCCACTTAGAAATTGTAGCTAAGACTTAAGAGCATGATGTATTATTTTCGGTGTACATTTTTATGGACTGACAACGTTACGTGACAACTTACATATGCTTAATATTTGTCAATTGACATAACAATTCACCCATAGAACCTGTAATGTTTTTTAAATAAGTTCGTAAATTTATTTAATTTAAGCACCCATTCTATCTCCATCTTCTTAATTAACGAGTTGTGCTATGATTTGGATGCTTAAGCCTACCATCTAATCCTTTAGCCTAACATGAAGTTTTACTTATAGGATAACCTCATAACTTTTTTCATGATAATTTTACATTATTTTTTAGAATTTTGATTATAAAAATTCAATGATATAAAAATAGATCCTGGCAATCGATGTGTGTATGGCATTTTAATGACTAATTCAGTAAGTGAAAATCGACCTATTGAAGGCAAGAGTTCATTATTGTCTGAGTAATCGTTCTCTATAAATTGATATTAAAAATAATTAGCTATCAAAGGTATGTTTGAGCCCCTTTAATTTTTGAAAAAATGTATTATGGAATAATAGATTAAAAAAAATCGTAGCAGCGGTCCTCGAACCTTTTCGTCTTTTTGCAGACTTTATCCTAACCTTTATTTTGTGCAATCGAAGGTCCATAACATTTTATAAATATACACTTGAGGTCCATCCAGACGAAAACCTTTCAAAACACTGTCGGTTGATCGCGAAAATTTCTTGAACTATCCGCTGCCACAATGATTTTATTGGATATTGATACCTTTTTAGACGATTTTATTGGATGTTCGTTCTTTAATTTTCTCGGTCAACTGAAGGTGTTTTGGACGGTTTTCGTTCAGATGGATTTCGGGTGTATATTTATGAAATGTTATGAACCTCCACTAGCACAAAATGAAAGTTAGGGTAGTCTGCAAAAAATAAAAAGGTTCGGGATCACGATTGCAATTTTTCGATAATAGATTAATAGAAAATTTGTGATTAAAAAAGAAGGAAAACACTTTTGATTTGCATGTAAATCAAATTTTTTTTTAATCACTTATTTTTCAAAAAAAAAATACTATTTCAACAATTTTTATTTTCATAAAATGAGAGCCAAACGGGGCTATATGGACAAGAATCAATAATGATACATTAGTCCTTATAAAGCAGAGGATAAAAGTAGGAGAATGAAATTCTCCAAACCCTTATGACTTTCATCATTGAAAAACAGTAATCATCTAAAGATGAAAAGATGGGCCTTACTGGAATTTAGTAAATTACTTTTAAGTAGACAAAAAACGACAACAATTTTTCAACTGTGTCAGAATTTTTCAACCGTGTAGGGTCGGGTCTTTCCATAAAGGAAGATGCTTATTGGGACAAGATCTCCACTAAGCGCAGTGACTCGTCCACTTCTGAATTTTTTATATTAAAATTCTACTCATTTTACATTTTTCATTTCTGATTAAAAAAGTAAAATTATTTTATTATCTGGAATTAATGTGGACAATGCATATATTTGAGCAAAATTAGATGTTTAAGATGGAATTTCGCATTTGAGAAATTAATATGATGATTTTGAAGAGAACAGGGGTACTCTCTATTTGACCTGTTACATTAAACTATCAGTACAAAACCAGAAATAAACAAGAAATATTACAAGAAAAATAAGGTAGAAAATGAAATTCTCCAGTCGTTCACAGAGAACTCGAACCACACGGCACCAGATGAAGTTCCTTTCAACAATAGGGCTCAAACTCAAGAAAATACAGGATTGTACCCTTCTGTATGACCCACACCGATCGCCCCAAACCCTAAGGTTTTCTTTTATCAGTTAAAGGAAACCACAAGGGGTAAAATCACACACCAAACTCTCCAATACACACAGTATTATGTATCACAAAGACGGAATCACACAGAAACCAGATCCAATCAGAGATTGGATTCTCACGAAGAAAAAGAGAGGGCTTGGAAGACTCTCGAACCTCAGCCGCAGCTGGAGAGAAGAGAAAATGACGGTCCAAGTAAATTAGGGCAAAGGGGCCAGGTATTTATATCCAACAAAGGCAGCCTTAGATCCAATTTTAATCCGACGGTCAGGAGGCATCCAATATAACTGAAGAAGGCGTGTTTGGCTGCATTAAAATATGCTACGCCAAAAAACACGTTTTATCTACCATTGGGCCGGGGCGGATTGGGTCATGTTATTGGGCAAGAGCCTAAATTGTTAAAACAGTTTTTGGGCTTTGGCCCATTTGTCATCACAGCCCAGAAAGGTTATTGGTCATCACAGCCCAACAACCTCTACCTTGATGCCAATGGGATTTCTGAACACTTGCAGCCCTCCTATTGACACCAAGTTGTACCTGCATTTAAAGAATTAACCTGTATCAATATTCAAAAGTACCAAACATGATTTAAACTTAGAAAGAGGCAATACCTTTGTCCCCATGTCTGATAGATTGTACTGTGTAGGAATTTTTTCAAGAAGAACAGATTCATTTGAGACATATCTCTAATAAAATGTAACTTTACATCTATGTGCTTGGTTCTTTCATGAAAAACAGGATTCTTACACAAGTGTATTGCACTTTGACTATCTGAATAAATAACTACAGGTTCATTTAACATCTTAATTTCAGATAATAGTCCCTTAAGCCACAAAGCTTCCTTCACAGCTTCTGTGGCAGCTACATACTCAGTCTTTGTGGTTGATAAAGCAACTATAGGCTGTAATTGGGACTTCCAACTCACACAGGTACCACAAAGAGTGAACATATAGGCAGAAGTGGACTTTCTATGGTCCCTATCACCAGCAAAATCAGCATCCACAAAGCCTTTAAGTATCATTCCTTCATTACCCTTTTTATATACTAATCCTATACTAGATGTGCCTTTTAAGTACCTAAGTAACCACTTAAGTGCTTCCCAATGTTCAGGACCAGGGTTAGCCATAAATCTACTTAAAGTGCTAATTGCATGAGCCACATCAGGTCTGGTACCGACCATGGGTGTGTTGTCTGACTAAGGCAATGAAACAGGCCCATATACATGCAGCATGGTTCAACAAATTAGTGAGTCGTTGCTTATGAGAGAAATATAATTGAAATTGAATTCAATTTTCAGAATTATCGAAGTTTGTTACTTTCTCTCTCTCCATATATATATATATATGTACACACACGGAGTCAAATATAAATATTGAAAAGTAAAAAATTCTCAACTATTCCTTTTGTTATTTCAAATTGAATAAAGTTATATTACCAACTTTTCCTTCTTTCAAACTTTCTTAGTACTTAACATAATTGTTTTTACGTTGGTACTCAATATTTCCTATCCTTTGTCATTCTCACAAGGTGTCATCATTATAATTTTAAATATCGTGATCATTATTATGTAAATAGTTCTTTCAAGTTCATTTATCTTTATCAATTACTAATGAGTTATACTATGCATATTTTATTATTTAACGTAGTCCATATAATATACGTTAACTTTACTAACATCAAGGTCACACCGAGAACATTTTAGCTTTAGGAAAAAGTTTTGTAAAAGCCACCTAGTCCAAATGATGTTTTCCTTGGTTTTTACGTAAACATGATTTAAAATTTTATTTGCACATAAAGTTAATATTTAAGGAACGAAAATGGCATTACCATGTTTTTATGCAATAAATTAGTAGAGAAATATGTTTCATTTTATTGATTTGAAGGTCAAAGGTATAGCAAGAAACAAGGTTATCACCATCTAGAGGTATTGAGAGGAACTGATTGTGTGCATAGCTTGAACTCACAAGTATACACAATGATTTGAGCAGATAATATTACAAAGTATTAAAGAAGAAAACTAAAGAAAAAAGTTTATTTATTTTAAAATACCTCTCTTTTGGCCCTAGACAACACAATGACTCCCAAGGCTGATATCGAGACATCTCTTTTGGATCGTTAGCTTGGCTTGGTTGGTTGATGTTGGGTCTGTCTGTTCTTTTATGCTATAACTGACCACCAATTATATTGTGGTATAATTTTCACAAATGGCTAGTTTTGGGCCATGTACATAAAAATAAAAAAAACAGTTTAAATAGTTGGCCACGGATTTCATCGCAAAACGTAAGACAGAAGAAAAAACAATCGATTCATTAAGATTGTTGTGAAGCATTTAGAACTTCGTAGGTAAGTCTAATTACAATTGTAATTTTGATTACAAGTGCAATAGTTGTTTAATTCTTCTTGTATTACAGAACGAATTGGTTTTTTTCCTGAAAATGTTGACTTTAAGCGTTCATTGAGATATTTTGTGTTGAACGCTTTTGTAATATGATATTTTTGGAAAAATATTATTACACATTTGTAATGTAGACTATAACATCTGTTTCTGAGTTACATGCAATGTTAGTAGAAAAATGTAACATTGGTCGTAACAATTGTTGTAGCGTTATTGAATTATCTCTATTTTGGGACCAATATTGTAACACTTTCTGCAAAATGGTTGTTACATCAATTGTAGCTTTAATAAATTATTTCTATTTTTCTATTACTAACATTAAGTCCATTGATTGTAACATTACTTATATTTTGTGGTAGATACGACTATTATTTGTATTCCAATACTATTTAAATATTAAGATTACTGCTATTTTGATATTTTAGTTGCATGTATTGTAATTTTTTGGCAGAAATATGTTGGATGATAAGGTGTTTTACACTCTTATCTAGACTTTTAAATCTTAATTTATATTTGATTATTTAGGCGAATTTCTACTAATATTTGTGCATCTACTGTTTGTTAGGTAAATACCCCAGCTTGGATTTGAATCGAGCAAAAAGGAAGAGATTTGGAATAAAATGACCAAAAGATGCATTATGCAAGACAAATAACCTATATGCGGAGCATGTGAGGAAATCAAGGCATATAGTTTGGTTCAAAGAATTCCTCAAGAAAAATGATATATCATTGAAAAAATAATTGAATTTGAAGTTCAACACAAAATAGAGTTGCAATTCGAATTTGTGGATCAAAAGTTAGACTTTTCCAGTTGAATAATGCTACTTAACCCTACTGAGATTATAACCCCCAAGTTTATGTGATGATAGGTGATAGTCTAAATGAAGGATGAAATCCATTTAATTTCACCTATAATTTAATGCTGCATTAGTTTCACATCATTTAATGTCATATTAGCACCACATAAATTGTGGTTATAATCTCAATGGGCTAAATAGCATTACTCTTTGTGGTTAGGCTGTGTAATCATGCTACATGACTAGACTCAGTGACATAATTTTTTTTTTCAGACTACACATGATAGATTTTTATTGGAAGTTGGAAAAACAAAACACAAAAACACTCAATCATGTGCTGCCACATCACTCTGTTTTTCTTCCCTACTTTTCCCCCCATTTTGAGTAGAATTTTTCTGGGTCGTTGGAGTGATGGTGGGCACTTGGGGATGAATATTCAGCTATTGATCGATTCCTACATTTATGTAATTGCTTTGTTTTCTCATTTAATTACTTGTCAATTTAATTAGACCTACACTTATTTATAAGGATTTGTTTTATGTATATTTTTTAGAATAAATTTTGTAAAAAATGATTTTTTAAATTACACGTAAAATTATTTTATTAAAAGAATATATAATTGAAAATGAAGTAAAAAAATAAAATTAAAGAATCCATACAAAACAAGGGCTAAATGTACCTCTGAACTTAATAAAAAATCAACGGTTCAATTGCTTACTATTTTTAACCAATTTTTTATATTTCAAAAAAAAAAATAAATAAATAAAAAGAAATGAAATGAAAAGAAAAGAAATACTCAACATAATTGTTACATTTAACACGTTAGTCAAGACGATACCATGACACTTTTGGCAAACATCATCATAACACCTAAAATATATTCATTGTCTTTGTTCCTATAAGTGACATCTACGTTTATATTTTGTTATTGTACCTACAAGCGACACATCCATTAAAACTAACGAAAATGCCAATTCGTCCACAAAGGTTAGCAAATTAATAAAACTAGAGACCACTAAACATTCACCCAGTTACAATCGGATTAATGGACTTCAATATGTATTAATAAAGTCATATATCACATAATTCCAGCCCAACAACTCTCATAGACATTGGTCACAACAAATTTTTTAGCCTTAATTTATAAATTTATCTATAACACTAGATGGTGAAAATTAATGGTTTTTGAAACTAAAATTCATCAATTTTCAAATTTAGTCATAAGTAAAACAGCTCGAGTGAAAAAATGAAAAAAATACAGATACATCGAAGACACCCAACTCAAACACAAATTAAGGAAAACAAGGAATAGGGAAAATTTTGTCATGGCCAGAAATTTATTCACTTCGATTATTTCTCAACCAAACATTTTTCCTTCAAAAACAAAAAACTCATAAAACTAAAAAAATATAATTCAATAAATTAAACTAGACTCATAAAATGATTTGAAAAGTCCGGATGACGTATGCAAAAAGACTTGATATTAATTCTCATAATACTACACATAGTTATTGTTAACGCATGGTGTGAAAATTTTTAGAATAAATAGTCATCTTTAGCATAAACCCTAACCCCGGGGAAAGGGAATATTTGTATGGTTGAGCATAGCAAAACGCCTTTAACTTTTACCAATATCGTTAGCTACTTTGTTGTTCAAATCCTTTTTCGATTGTTGCTTCTTGCTACCTTCCATAGGCACACTTAGAATATGTATGTGATATAAATAGTTTTTGTAACGTATTATCCAGAGTAAACTTCAAGAATGATCACTCAAGTTTGTGCAAAATTCAAGATGACCCATAAAGTATTTCCTCAATCGAGCACTTGTTACCTGTTAGGAAGGTGTTTAAACTCTAACTTACAAATAATATTTGGTCAAATTTAGTTTCTATCCACGTATTTTTATATAACTCACAAACATTATGAGCTTATTCAATTCTCATTTTTATCCATTAGATTATGATCGATTGCTAGAATCTCGACACTTTTAACATTATCAAACTCAATGTATAAATTCATTGTACAAATAGATTAACTCCTCATCTGGTAGCAATTTTTTATTCAAAAAATAAAAAATTTGAATGTTATTTCACTTTTTCAATCGTCATTTTTGATTTTATCACCCACACAAACTCACTTTTCTTTTTAACGATAAAAAAAGCAATTCTTCCACTGCTGAACTGGTCCTATTTCTTTTCACAGGACTTAGGAGGGATCTGAAGAAGAGCCCAGAAGCCCAAAAATTCGCTCAATTTCGCCCATTCTCACATTATCCAATCAAATCCTAGACGATGCAAGCAGCACTTGCAGTCATGGCCGCACAAGCAATTCTCTCTTCAACACCCCACCACTCTCTCCTCCCAATCTCTTTCAATCCCACCATTTCCACCGCCACCTTTTCGTCATCACTCCCATTTACTTCTTCCTTCCACGGCCTCTCACTCAAAGCCACCACCGCCCGCCCATACTTGTCCTTCTCCGCCTCCGCCTCCCCGAAGCCTATTGCCATTGTTGCCTCCGCCTCCAAGAAGGCCGTCGCGGTCCTCAAGGGCACCTCCAATGTTGAGGGAGTTGTCACGCTCAACCAAGAAGCTGACGGTGAACTCTCTATCTCTTCCATTTTGGAATAATTACACGCACTAACACTCGCAGATACTCAAAACTCAATTTTATATATGCTAATTTAGGTTCTAGATCCTAATTTAAGTCAAGGCTAATACATATCGTGTTAGCCAAACTTGCAGACAAAACTAGTTTTATTAATTCCAGTAAGAACATAAACAAGCAATTTTATTGAAATTGCAGCATATAACAATAATCTTATGGATTAAAATTGAACAGAAATAAAGAATCAAATCTGCAGCAATATTTTAATTGCAGAAAGGAAATGGATTTGCAAACAGATCGTGATGTGTATTCATATTCTGCAATTACGTTTCCGGTGTATGTTTCGATTTTCAGGTCCAACTACTGTGAAAGTTCGTGTGACTGGACTTACTCCGGGCAAACATGGGTTTCATCTAGTGAGTATTATGAGTGTTATTAATTCTATATATTCTGAAGACTTAGGTTCTCTTGTTTCCTAGATCATGAGGAAAAATAAAAACCAAGTTCGAAAATGCTAATCTTATTATCATTTTCTTTGGGTTTTGTAGCATGAGTTCGGTGACACAACAAATGGGTGTATCTCAACAGGTTTAGACTCAATTTCATGTTT